AATCCCTTACTGCACTTGTTCAAGGTAGTCCTCCACTCGCTCCTCCCAGCCCCCAACACATCACCCACTCCTTTATTTCCTCTTCTGCATCCCTCACAAGGCAGAGACAGGAGAGCTATAAGCAAAGGTGGCCTAGCTAGACCCTGCCTTCGACAGAACTAAGGCTACTGTTCCCTGATAGGGGAAGAGAGAGTCACTCTGGGGCTGAGCACGGCTCACTGGCCTGGTGTCAGCTCCTGAGGGATGGCACTCTTCATGTGGTGTGACACTGAGAACCACCCGGTTGAGCTACTACTGCTTTCTCACGCCATCAGATGTCTGCTCAACTCTGGATTCCAAGAGAAAGACAGCTGAAGAAATCAAACAGTTGTTTTCTCTATAGAAGCATCCTTTTGGGTTAGGCAGGAATATTGTAACGTTTTGCAACACAAGTGATAACACCCCAAATGATTCTTTTGTCTCAAAACACAAATGAAAGATACTTTTTAAAAAGAAGCAAAATGATTGCCTGGAGCACTTCTATAGAAAAAACAAAAACACCTTTACTCGGAGAAGGCTTATTTCTGCTTACAAAAAGATGATGGTTAGCTTCCTCAGAATCTCGTGAGATATTAATTAACAATATTCATACAGGAGATTCACAAGAATCAGAGATTTGGAAGGAAAAGCAACCTTGACCCCTATGGTTGCTAGGTAAGGGCCTACCACACAGCTACTACCTACTCCATCCTATCTATAGCCAGAAAACTCAGTAAAGAGCTAGCAGCATAGCCGGGCAGTGGTGGCGCCTGCCTTTAATACCAGCACTCGGGAGGCAGAGGCAGGAGGATCTTTGTGAGTTCGAGGCCAGCCTGTTCTACAAGAGCTAGTTCCAGGACAGGCTCCAAAGCTACAGAGAAACCCTGTCTCGAAAAAAAAAAAAAAACAAAAAACAAACAAAAAGAGCTAGCAGCATTACCACAGCCACAATTGTTGCATCGTGATTGGTAACAGCCAAATCCACGCAGCTCACTCATCAACAAGTTGGTAGAAAAATGAGTTTCACATACAAAAGGGAACACTCTCTGACCTTCAAGAAAAGAATACCTCTCATTTGCATAGATGGAGTGAAATAAGCCAGGCTTTGGAGAATAATTACCAAATGCATACATATGTGCGCGTGCACACATATCTCCCAACCTAAAACAATCACTCTCACATAAGCAGAGAGTACAATGGTAGTTGCCAGAGGCTTTAGGGTCCAAGAGAAAAGAGACAGAGGTCAAGGTGGGCCAAGTTCGGAGGGAAGTCTTTTAAGATCTATTACATAGGAAGGCAAATGTGTCAAACAATATAGTGTTCCCTGCTTTAAATCTCACAAGAGTAAATATTCATATGAGGGGAAAAATAGAAGAATTTCTCAGATGACATATGTCTACTCATGTGACGTAATTCTCATTGCACACTGCACTACGTCTTGCCCCGCAAATACACCTTTTGTCAGTTCATGTGGAAATAATAAAAATAAGATTTTTATGCCATAAGTACCAAGAAAGCATCCTCGAACTACAACAGCCATTTCCTTTTGAGAAATAAACAGATAGAAGCCCCGATCCAATTAGAATGCTGTAAAGTCGCCTTTCTTAAGTTTTATTTCCTAACAGGGCACAACTAATTCTGTTATTTATGAATACCATAGCAAAACACTTCGTTGTTGTTGTTGTTGTTTTCCTGAGACAAGAGTTTCTCTGTGTAGTCCTAGCTGTCCTGAAACTCGATTTGTAGACCAGGCTGGCCTAAAACTCACAGAGATCCTCCTGTCTCTGCCTTCCAAGTGCTGGGCTTAAAGGTGTTTGTTACAATTCCCAGAGGCAGACTGCAGAGCCTAAACATGCATTAAATCAAGAAATGGAACCAATGATAATTCTACATTATTAAGTACTGTTTCTAATCATCAAGTCACCAACATAACATAACGGGAGACGGCACAATTTTCATCCTAAGAGATGCTACTTTTGTGTTTTGTTTGTTTTGTAAAGAGTTTTACTCTGCTAATTGGGTAATATGTACACTTGCTCCTTCCATTTCTCCCCAAGGCAAAGAGGAATACAAGGCTGTTACTAAAAGCCAGAGATCTGGGCATTTCACAGACTCAAGTCAGTGACTCTAGACTGCTCTATTTCACCAGCCATGCTGGGCTACCAAACTGTTCTCCATATGCTGCTGTACAATGGCACCGGCCACTAGTGCCTCCTCTGCCACACCCCGACAGTGGCAGGAAAAAACAAAAAATGGAGTTGTTCAATTGACAAGACCCAACTTAGTCAACTCATTAGTGCTTTTCTGTGCAGGGAGAAATGCCAAGACTAAAGAGAACGCACTCAAGGTGGTCAATTTTGCTTCTGAAAAGGCATGACTGACTTCAAAAGAAGAATGAGATCTTGGATCATCGTGGGTCTCCCGATACGTTCTCACGCTTGAAATAAAGGACAGCCAAAGCATCGACCCTTGGAAGATTCGTCTCTATTACAACGGGCTTCATCAATGTTAGCCATTCCAGAACAGTGCAAAGAAAAAGCTTCCTGTGCAGATCGAAAGGGTGCCTAGCGTGAGCTGTACCTCTGACAACAATGCGGGCCGGCTCAATTACACTGACTCAGGCCCTTGGTGGACACTCATGAGATGAGTCTCACAGGCTGAATAGCAGAGTGGACACTCGGGGTCTGATCAAAACATAAAAGTGCAGACCCTCTAACTCCGTGTGTAATTGCTCTCCGACTTTGAGAGAACAGAGTCTGAGTAGTCAGACACAGCTGTCAGCACTCTAGGAGGAAGGAGCAAAGTAGTTTACCTCCACAAGTCAGCAGCACCCCACCGTACAGGTGTGACAGTGTGTCCTTACTCTGAACATTAATCGTAAGTATTCATCGTCAACCCATTAGAGGTCTGCTACTCATATCAATGGCCTTGAAAAAGCTCCTTCCCTCTCTCTCTCTCCCTACACACACACACACACACACACANTTACTCTGAACATTAATCGTAAGTATTCATCGTCAACCCATTAGAGGTCTGCTACTCATATCAATGGCCTTGAAAAAGCTCCTTCCCTCTCTCTCTCCCTATACACACACACACACACACACACACACACAGACAGAGAGAGAGAGAGAGAGAGAGAGAGAGAGAGAGAGAGAGATCACAATTGGTAGTTGAAAACTGCTGACTCTTGAGTATAAACTCTTCAATCAAGTTATAAGATTATAAGAAAAAATATTTCTGCAGAAAGAAAACTGAACCTTCAGTCTTCAGATATTACATCACTTGTGTGTGTGTGTGTGTTTTAAGACAAAGAAAGCCAAGTACAAACCAAGCTATTTTCATCTTTAATATTTTCCCAGCCTACTGAAGAGCCCAGAATCAGAATGGAAAAGAATGCTGGGAAAATGTAGCGTTCGCATATGGTTCATCAGCTGCCATGCAGTTTGTGCTCCAAGATATACAACTCAAGATCTCCTTTAAAGTAGCTACCCAAACGCAGACAGATTTCATGGGGGTGTCACCCAGCCACGATGTGAGAAGCCCTTGTCTCTGCAGAGATGGCAAGGTTAGCCTTCCCCAAGCAAACAGTTGCAGCCTTCAAAGGCACCCGCTTTTTCACAGCGAGTTTCAGCGCTGGATAAGATCAATGGCATATGGGCACTGGATTCCAATCGTTTTCAAACAGGAGGGCTGCCCTTTGTGCAAGAAGATTGTAGCTCGGCAACAGCTGATCTTTAGTGCAGAAGCGACAATACTGCCAGTTGAAAAAAAATGCACCTTCCTTAAAACAAATCATACTTTTTTGTTCCCAGGAAGCTTTGATACTATTTCGAGCAACAAAGACACATTCTGACATCCTCAAGAATGGTTTAAGGCAGATCAAGAGTAAACAAGATAACAGCAGCAGCCTGAGAAACAGCCAAGGTGAGCAGGAGTCAGGGCAGGGAGGCTGGAGTGGAAATGGGTATCTGTGATCTAAGAAATTGAGTCTTCACTGATGAATGGAGGTGGGAGGGGGAAAGAGGACAGCGATCTTTTTTTTTTCAGTTAAAAGAAAGAAGTGTGCGGTGCCGGTTTTGTTTCACGAGTGCGTGTTGAATAAACAGCAGGCAAAAATCTAGTTTCGTGACTTAAGACTGCTCAGTGAGAGTAACCTAAGTTTGTATGTGGCTACAATCGCGAGATCTAACCAAATTGAGGACTCATACCAAATATTTTGTGACAATTCTTTCAACGTTTCAAGAGTCTTCCGATACCAGCAAGAAGCCTATTATTAGTCAGGGAGTCCTACTATTGATTTCAAATGACCATTTTGTATGATGGGCACCGGTTCTGTTCTGCCCTCTTTTAAAGAAACCACTAAAGATCCAGAGTGCTTTCGTCACCCGTTTCCTAGAACTGAGGGCCTAAAAACGGTGTCAGGGATGGAAGTCAGAGAACAAGCAGAAGCCCCAAAGGTCCGGGCAAATTCTTCTGCAGCGCGGCCCCGTCTCCCGCGTGCGTGCAGGAGTGGAAGAGCTGGAAGTGTGTGCGCTCCTCCTCCCTCCGGGCCGCGCTGGGGACCATCGTTCCAGGATGTCAAGTGGGTGGCGGCTAGCCTCGGAGGAGAAGCCCTGCCTGGAAGCGCCGAGTGCTACTCCGATGGAGACGGCCGAGCCCCCTCACAGCGGTTCCTCGCGGCCAGCCACCGCTCACCTTTGTTCGCCGGCCCTCTCTGTGAGGAGGAAGCCGGGGAAGGAGGAGCGCGGGCGGCGACCCAGCTCTCCGCGGCCCCTTCGCGGCGCCCCGGAGGAAATTCACGGGCGAGTCGGACCCTCTCTAGCTCCCCAGAGGCCAGCCCGGTCGAGGGATCGGGGACCCCACGGTGAACACAAAGGTTGGGAGGTGTGAGCCCGAGCGCGGGGGCGTGCGCCACGGAGCTGGCGAGTGTGCTGGCGTGTGCGTGTGTGCAGGAGAGCAGGCGCTCCGGCCCTTCTTACCTCTCGAAGATGAGCCGCACCATGAAGATGCAGAAGGCCACGGGGAAGGCGAGGTAAAGGTCCTCCGCCTGTGGGAAGGTGGCTTCATCCGTGTTCTTCAGGTCTGCCCAGGTGACATTGTGCGGAAGCCAAAACCGCTCGTTCCAAAACCAGGCTAAGATCCCTGCCATCTTGCTTTGTCCACTCCCGTGTCGCGGCTCCCGCGCTCCTCCGAGCTCTCCGCAGCGCAGGGTGCCGGGGATGCGCGCTGGGCTGGCCCAGAGCCTGCCTGTGCTGCCGCTGCCGCTCCCGCCTGCCGCCGCCTCCTCCGTGGCCGCTGCGCTCCCAGGCTCAGGGCTGGCTCTGCTCCTCTCCTCCCTCTGGCCGCGCTGGGAAAAGGGCCGCCTCGCCTGTCACGTGGCAGCCTGGCCGCACGCCCTGATTGGCTGGTGCCCGCGTCAAACAGCGAGGCACACGCGGCCGGCTCGCCCACGCCCTGAGGGCTGCGGGCCACGCTCTGGCTCTGCACCCGCACCCGGTGCGCGGCCGGCACCTCTGTCCCGACCCGGAGTTGACTCGCACACGGTCAGAACGCCCGCTCCTGCCCTGTTGGAGTTTGCGCTCTCGTCCTCTTGCCTTGCGCAGAGAGGCAGGCGAAGAGGGGGCTGGCATGGGCCGAGCTTCCAGAGAGCCCTGCACTGAGAAAGAACCGTTGCTGAAGAAGAAGGGGGCGCAAAGGCAAAGGAGGAAGGAGTGGGAGGGGAAAGGATCATCCTCCCTGGTGAGAAAAGAAAATCAGGAACTGGGGCAGGAGAGTTTGGTAAGAGACTTCTGTCTCCAACCCAAGCCTGCCGCCTTCCTTGACCTTCCTGTCACGTTGTACACTGTTGCTTCTCATTGAACCGGCTCTCCAGGGCATAAGGCCCCTTATTTTGATGTATGAAATAGCCGGAGAAGTTAGAAATTTGTGATTAATTAATTGCTTAATGATGAGGATGATGGTGGTGACGAGAACAGCTGGTAACAGCTGCATTCTGTGAAACTACTCCACTAACCTCTGCAAACACTGCGGGAACCACGTTTTGACTTGGTAGGTAATCCTACTACATCAGGAGGAGGTATTTATTCCTTCTCTCCCTCCCTTTAAACGGAACCCTCAAGGCCTATACTGTCGCCTCCAGATTCTCACCTCCTATTCTTTGTTGAGCTTCCATTTATGCCTCCTCCACCCTTCGAAATGACCCAAGGTGTGATTGCAAAGGTCAGTTCTTGCCTCCGATCAGGCTGCTTGACGACACGCCTCAAAAGATGAACACGCATCGCTCACACTCCCAGAGATAAAGTCCAAAGCCGCGGTGCTAGGATGTGGCAAAAGCACACTTCCTGAACTCTTCCTGACAGGTGGTTGTCTTCTCAGAAGAATATGTACCCTCCTATCTATCATTTTACTAGGGCATGAACCCTCTTCCCAAGCCTTCGCCCTCATAAGCTAGTTACATCCCACGGGCTCTGACTCCAATTGCCAATACATTGACTTTTGGGAGAACACAAACATTCGATTCGTTTTAGTTATCTTTGGATGGCCACCAGTACTAATCTCTCCTCAGAATCTTTCCTCCCTGTGGGCACTAATCTCTCCTCAGAATCTTTCCTCCCTGTGGGCACTAATCTCTCCTCAGAATCTTTCCTCCCTGTGGGCATGGCTCAAGCCAAAAGGACGGGGTCACTTTCCCCCCTTCTCTCTTGGTTGCACACCTTCTTTCTAACATCACAAACTCTGCCCAAGCCATTTTCAAACTGTAATCTTACTTTGTCCGCCACCTGTTTGGCTGCTATCTGACATAAACGACCAGCATTTCACATAACCGCCTAACACCCAGTTCTGTCCATGTTTCTCTGCTGTCCACTCTCCGCCACAGTCATAAAGTTGAAATTTTGGTCACATAATTCCAGTACTTAAACCTGCTTCATCTCTGTTCTTCCACCCAAGTAGAAGTCAACGTCATTATAATTTCTTAGGACATTTGATTCCTTATTATTGCTCTGATCTCGTGTGTTCTGTGTGTGGCTATCATGGCTCCCAGCTCTTCATGGACCACACCACCCAATGCCTCCACAGGCTTTGTATGTTGTATGCATCTCCTCGGTCCCTGGAAAATCTCTCCCAAAGTAGCTGTCTTCTTTTTCCTGTGTTTTGTTTTACAAAAGCTTCTCTTTTACAATTCAAGTAAATGTAAAACCCTAAACCCCAAAGCCACCATCACCATCAATACAACATATAGCATCATTGGCACCTTGTCTCTAAAGTGTAAGCTTCAAAAAGTTTAAGATATACATCTATCAGTCAGGTACATGACTTTAAACCTGGCACTCCGGAGGCAGAGGTAGGTGGATCTCTGAGTTTAAGGCCAGCCTGGTCTATAGATCGATGAGTTTCAGGACAGATGGGGCTATACAGAGAAACACTGTCCCTAAAAAAAGCAAATACCTATATCTATATAAGTATAGGTAGATAGGTAGATAGACAGACAGACAGACAGATATAGTCTGTTTTATCAAATGTAGTTTCAAATTGCCTACTACATAGTAGTACATAGAGAACCCATTAAACTATTGACTTAATGAGTCAGCGTTATTCTAATAATCTCCCTCCCCAGAAAGAAGACATCTTTAGGTGAAGGTAATATTTGAGTAATTAAGTTCGATGTTCATTGATCCTTGTTAAATTCATGGGGAGCACAAAGCGGGCATAAAGAAGGGATTGTTCATTTCCGGGTAGAAGAAGGGAGATGTCACTGAAGTGCGTCTTCTTTGGAGGGAAGTCACCATCCGCATTCCAGAACCTGTGTAAGCAGCTGCGTTAACCCGCCCCTTTGTGTCTCCTTTCTCTGCCTCACTCATCTGCCTGTGCCCTGCTTCCCACCCCTCTCAAGCTGCCTTTTCACAAGACAAACTAGTGAGAGAATGAAAGCGTCTCACTCACCCATCACCTTTGAGAATAGGGAGGGATTTGGAGAGTATTGTAGAGCATTGATTCTGTCAGGCGGTTCCAGAAGGAGGATTTAGTGCTTGTCAGGATCTTGGATGGGTTGGTTAGTTTCTACAAGCGTGCACACATCCGCCTGTGTGGGCTGCATAGTGATGGCAGCTGCCTTACCTCTAGCCACTATTCTGAAGCTGGCATGAGATTACATATGGGAAAGAGCCTCTGTCAACTCTTCACCACATACCCATATACAGGGAGGCAAACACCTCTTTTGCTTGTCTAACCTCTCTCCCTAAAGCAATGGCGCCACCATACCACCCATCCCTCAAAACACAATAGAGTGAGCCATCATTTCTTATCTGATCATATTTTGGTTAATTCGGAGATGGGCTCATGGTAGCAGTGAAGGTCCTTCTTTAGATAGTGGAGGATTGATCAGCAGCCTGTATTGTAAACACTTGGATTCAAACTCAGAGACTATTGTCCACTGTACTTCTTTGTAGAGCTGGAAAAAAGTGATAGCTAGTTTGCTACAGAGAACAAAGTCAGACTCGGAGAATTCAGTAAGAATCTAAGACACAGAGAGTTCTGTCAGCATCAGCTTCAGGTGCCACACAGCACAACGGTACTGATTGTCTTCTCATCTTTAAATTCCAAGAATAAGTTTAACTTTATAGAAAGTTTTCCCTATCTGTATTCTTGAAGTTTTAATCCAGGAGCCCCATTATCCAAGCCAATACTGTGAGAGCACAAGTCAGACTCTTAGACTCAAGGGAAAGTTAGTGATAGGAGAGGAAGCACCTTTATACCTGTCCAATAGGGACTCCTAACTGTTGCCCCAGGAAACCACAATGCAATGGATACCTCACACAAATAAATGGCTCAACGAAAAAAATGAATCATCAGTTGGTAAACAGAAGAAGCAAGAGACAAGAAAAGGTAGAAAAGTAACTTTTGTTGAGGGGCAGGAGTATAAACTGCCTGAATTCCAGCTGGTAAACAGCTCTGTTTATATATGGGGGGAGGGATATGAGAATATACCTGATTTCCAGGCAACTGGAAACTAGCAGCCAAACTAAGCCAGCTTTCTCGTCCTCGGGTGCACAACCTCATCTTAGCTCTTCTATGTGCATTCAAGTTCACATATCAGGACTCTCTACTTCTCGGGAGCAGGAGACCAGCCCAAAGTTTCCACGATTGTCCACTGTGAATTTGCACCTGACATTGTAGTGCTCATTCTACAGAAAGAACACACAGATCTACTTGGGTAGCAAGATGTACTGAAAAGCCAGGCAGCAATACACACCGGTGCCTCTCAAGGAGCAATGGAAGTTAGAGGATAATGCCCACCTAGCGCTGATAACAGGGACTCAGAGGCAGAAGGAGACTCCAATCAGGAGGTAGAAATGTAATTAGATTACGAGGAATGGGTAAGATTTCTAAAGAGCATGAGCAGTGGGAAGAGGTGGGACCAATCTGATAAGAAGAATAAATAAAACATTGCTGATACATCAGATAACAGATAGCCTTTAATATGGAACAAAGGGATTCACTTATGAAATTTAATGAGGCTGTGTTTTATCTATGACTAGAGCATCGGAGCTGTTTTATAGTACCATTCCTTGTATATAATACCCTCTTAGATTATACGCACCTGCGTATATATAATCAGTGCTTGAGACAGAGGCGGTGCTGAAACTAAGCGTTCAGTTTAAACACCTCATCGATTCTAAATATTTGTTTTTTAATTTTGTGTATGTGGGGGTATGTGCAAGTGAGCTCTAGTTAACATGTTTTGTGGTACCTAATAGGAGAAATGAGAAGTAGACTCCAGACCTCTGTAACAGCAACAAGTATTCTTAACTACTGAGCCAAAAAAGGAACTGGTAATAATAGGAAATATTACAAAATTTTATTTCTGTAGTTTTCTTGTGAACTCAATGCCCTCTTGCTGTGGTTGGCAAAGTCGCCGTATGTCTACACTAGTTTTGGCTTGTTGCTGTTGTTGTTGATGTTTGTTTATTTGTTTGCCCGGGTGCCCACCTATGGGGATTTCACTTATACTATATAATGTGCCCTTGTATGTGATTTCAGCAAGAGGTAGACAGGATCTCTCTCGACAGTATGCAGATCAGCAATAACCATGCAAGACACTCAGTATCTTCTCCCAATTTAAAAAAAAAAAAGAAATGAGTATTATTTAACCAACAGCATTAGATTGACGATAAGCTAAGGTGTCAACCCTGAACAGGAATATCTAAAACACAGAACAAATTCCAGAGCCTGCATTCTTGCCCGTCTTTAATCTTTGTTTTTGTTTGTTTTTCAATATTTATTCATTTTAATTTGAGAATTTCATGCAATGCATTCTGATCA